GCCCGAGAAAACCACATTCTTCATTCTGCATTTATTTCTCTTGGCATTTATTTTGTTTCTTCGAAAGCGCTGACAAAAAATCTACTGTCTACTCAACCGAATAGGTCCGCGAACGGAGAGCGATACGCAACATAGCGCTGGAGACCAAACTGCGCAAGCTACCCGACCCAGGGGAATTCTTTGACGTCAAACGGATACGCAACCTATCGTCAAAGGAGATGTTAAAGGGAAAAGTGCAGGTGTTGCGGCATAAACGTTAAATTAACAGAGAGCTGATTTCGACATAGTCGCGGCGTTGGACACGGTCATTAGTCAGCTAGAAGCGCACACGAGACGACGAATATAATATCTCATATTGACCCCGCTGGGAAAACCTCCGTTCCCCGGTGGGATTCGAACACACGCAGTAAGGGGAAGGCTTTAGTACAGCCAGTGCTCTAACCACTTGAGCTGCTAGGCCCCGCCAGACGAGGCGAGTTTAATCACATTTGAATATGAATATATGAATAAGAATATAATATATATGAATATAGGCAGAATGATATTACCGACAAAGACAAGGGAGACTGGAATGGCAATTTCTGGCTTATTAGCCGTCGTCAGCCAGCCATACCCAAGCCCGAAGTGTGGAACACCCGAGCCTCGAACTCGCGACCTGTTGGTTTAGAAGTCAACGCCTCTACTCACCAGGCCACGAGCCCGTTGCCTTGTCGGTTTTCGATCGGGAATATACAGTGTTAGGGGGCGCTCACCGATCGTTCATACGGAACTCACTCGTTCCGTTGTGCCTTATGGGCTCTCTCTCGAGCCCAACCAGCAGCCGCACAGCGGCGCATGATATATAGGCAGAAAAGTATTACCGACAAAGACAAGGGAGACTTGAATGGCCATTTCTGGCTTATTAGCCGTCGTCAGCCAGCCATACCCAAGCCCGAAGTGTGAAACACCCGAGCCTCAAACTCGCGACCTGTTGGTTTAGAAGTCCACGCCTCTACCTACCGGGCCACGAGCCCGTTGCCCTGTCGGTTTTCGATCGGGAAAACTGCTACTCCGAGCCAGAATAATATTAATTGAAATGTATTTTTTGATCAGATAGGAGATTCTTTCGATGTCGTTTTCCCATTGGCAAAAGGCATCTTGTTAATGTCCACACGCTTTCTGATTTACTCAAGCTACAGTAAGCATGACGGATGGTTGCGTACTATTGTTTATGAAGATATACAACTAATCTCTTCATTCCGTGTTCAGGAGTAGGTTCGAATTACCTCTTAGTCGTGTTCATCGACCCGGCTTGTTTGTAAATGATAATGCGTCTCGAAATGAGATTCCTGGCTTGAGACCCTGTCCAACGACCCTGCAGCAGCTAATATAAAGGTGAGGAGTTAGTTAGTAGGAAGCAGAACAGACGATTAGACGAAAGTTTCTGGTTATTTGAGTCATCGTTCACAGGGGCCCAGTCCACTTAAGAGTACAATTATGAGACTTAGTCCAGCCAAAGTAGCTAGCCGACGTGGGGACGGGTAGGCCGGGGAGCGAAGTAGCCAAACAATCATCACGCCAACATGCAACAAGAGTGGAGAAATCTAAGCAATGAATGACTTTCATGCCAGCCTTCAGGCGATTAGCGCACTAAAGGACAACCATCATCGATGGAAGGAAAACCATTAATTGTTACAGGTCTTCAATAACATGGGGACTGAATCCGATAACTACCACAACTCCCTGGCATATATTACCCTATCTGGCACTGTATCTGATGATAGATTCCAGCACGAATCCGAAACGTCAGAAGAATAAGGCCGTTGTTCCAGTGGTCTTACCAACATTCTGGTCTGTTTACCATCGTCTTTTTGCCCGAATGAACACTGTCTCCGGCGACAGTGACTCAAATGCAGACAGCCAGATAGTCATCGCGCCATACACGGCCATCGGCGGAGACTGAGAGAGCTATCAATTTCGGAAGTTAGGTGGCGGTGGGACGACTGTATCCTATAAATCCTCCACTATTTTTGCGTTTATTGCCTACATCCGTTGCTGTCGCGGAAGCTACGCAACACGTCATCCGTTCCTTGCTATAGTTTAGTATATTTTAGGATGATAGGCGGCGTCCTTCAAAATATTACGAGTAAAGACACTTTTTGTATTAATGAGGGACCCAAGGTAATACAGAGGTTTTTTTACAACATACTGCCGCCACGCAATTATGGTGCAGTAGGATCCAGAGAAAGCAATTACTCTTTTAAAGAATCAGAATTCTACGCTTTTCCGAAATTTTCAATATTTAGTAAATTCAATGCCAAGAGAATTGAGCATTCTAGGGAGGATTTCGCTCATGGCTTCCTAATGAGACATGTGAATGCTTTCAGTCTTCTATAGTTAGGGCAAACATCGGATCTACTAAGACAATCGTTTTCTCTAGTGCAGGTAATCAAAATCATTCTGAAACTTAAGCCTTCACGGTGTATTTCAAAGATTATCTCCATATTACGATGTCCCTTTAAAAATCACCTTTAGTCGAGAAAGCATGCTTGGACATTTCTGTTAGTATTGCGTGAATTTCAACACATACTGTGTACCGAACACTAATCGCCTCTTTATGATGAATAAGGACGACATGAACTGCCACCGACACGTATGTTAAACTTTATCCAAAATCGGTTTGGTAATTTAAAATTAACCAACAAAAGCGAAGAGATGAGGTTGAGGAAGCAGTTCAGAGGAATGAGATGCGATCGCTAGAATAGGACTTTTTTTCGTGTGACCTTTCGCTTTGGCATTCTGCGAACGTTTCCAACGATGGAGTCCGAAATGTCAGGAGAACAAACGTTTTGGTCCAGCGATCGCATCTCATTTTTCTAAACTTCTCAATTGCTCTCACGATATCGTTTAGAGTGCGCGCCCTGTCTTCCTGCCCATGAGACTGAAAGTCCAATGGCGAAAGAAATTGAGTTTAAAATATTATATGCCTACGTGAAATTCATGCTCGCTTCAAAAATGCCAGCATTTATTGTTAAAAATACACAAAACGCGTAGAATTTGTTTGTGGTTTTCGGCCTAACTATCGAATCTACGTAAAATTCAAAAAGAATTTGGTCGGATAGTATTAACTGAACGCGGTTTCAGGTTCTGCCTCGGCCAGATGCGGATGCTGAAAAATGTCAGGCACAAGGCGCGGACGCGATGATTTTGAATTTGAAGCAGTGCATTGGTAAGAATAATGTTTGCCCATCTACGTCTTTACTGTTAGAAAGAAAAACAAAGGCGGAACTTACCAGAAGTTGAATAGACCTTTGACAAGGCGGCGTATGAAGTTTTCTCCGTACTTGTATTGTAATTCATTTGCCTCTAGAACGGGTCATGCGACAGATGCGGTGGATTGAAACGGGGCGTAATTGGGTCACTGCACGCATTGAGTCCGCTGCGCAGAGTTTGTACGTCTCAAAACAAACGTTAAACATGGGGGGGGGGTGTGGTGGCACGCCTACGCACAGGCCCAGAACACGCCAAGCATTTGCGTCCAACCAATGCATCAGATGGCTGACGGGCGCGGACAGCAGACTGCAGCAAGGACGAAAGAAGAGAGAATAAGTTAAACTCTGGGCACTCTCTCCCGGCCGGCAAATCGGTGCACTCCTCATTATAATATATCTGATGCGCTTGGATCTACAGTAAATGGGCTAACTCATGAAATGTCAACCGAAATTCCGAAATACCATCTCGTTTCAAAACGATTCCTTAAGCATGGTTGTAAAACTAATCATAGGACACCAAAATTCTCTAATAGTTCAGTTATCTCAGGATGTGGGCTTTCGAATGAAGTTCCTTCAGGCTTCATGAAAAAGTATACTCTGTAAAAAATGACTGCTTAAGTTGCATGCATTTTTTCACTTTGATTCTCGATGCCCCTAAACCTCCAATTATATTTCCTGGAGGCCATGCATACAAATTTTCATTCAGTTGCTCATTCGGTAGAAAAGTCTGCCTTCTTCTAATTTTATGCTTGACGGAATGGTTTAATTCGGTTTTCAAAAACGTTTACAATTTTCGAATAATTTTGAATCCGCTTTACCGTTACCATTGGATTGAGGGTTTCCAAACTACAAGCCGTATATTTTCCGCATACGGAAAACCACACATTTCCCTACGGTAATAAAGGGGGACCATATAGGGTTCATGAAATTTAGCAGTGGATTTGATTTATATTGTTAAGTTTATGAGCCACATTGGTAAATGCATAAACATGACGATTTATGAAAGGCCATTTCGCGGTAGTTAAATGTCCCAGAATTAGAAACTTTTCTAAAACCGAATTATACCCTTCCTTCGAGCATGAAATTAGCAGAAGACGCAATTTTCTACTGAATGAACGAAAGAATGGATATTTTTTATGTGTTTTACATGAAATATAATTGGAAATTTAGGGGAATCGAAAATCAATGAGAAACATGCATGCTACGTGTAGACATTTTTTACAGAGTGTAGTTTTTGCATGCAACCGGAAGGAAGGGCATTCGAAAGCTGGCATCCTGAGGTAACTGAAACATTATAGAATTATGTTGCAGTCTGACTAGTCGTTAATTGTTGCAATCTCATCACGTGCGTTGGAGGTGGGTGTGATGATTGTTCGACCACCTGACCCATCGATCCTGGCGTTGGGAGGAGTATTCACTGGTGAGCTCTCCGCATGGCTAATTACTCCGCATAGTCAAAGTCTCAGCACCTAATATGGAAGGGAAATTTCGTTGCACTTTTTAATGGACTGGGGTTAGTAAACCATGACTCAAGTAACTTCCGGCTCACGCGGTTGTCACCTCTAGCAAGGATTTCTGCCTCCTCGGTCGCCGAATCAATCCTGCAACGGCTAGAATCGCCGGTCTTCCAACACCACAGACCGAAGTTCTGGGCCCCGTATGTGGATGATACCTTCGTCGTTATCGACCGGAATGTACTGCTGACATTCAAGGAACATCTGAATGCGGTCTTCCCGGACACAATTTACGATGGTTGAGGAAGAGAACAATCAGCTGGTCTTCCTGGATGTCCTCATATGCCGCAAAAATTGTGGTAAACTGAAGACCAAGGTGTTCAGGAAAGCGACAAATACGATGCAAGTAGTGAACTTCAACAGCAACTACCAAATCAGTCACAACCGCAGTTGTGTAAGGACGCTCTATCGGCGTGTCGAGAAGCACTGCAGTGAGCCGGAAGACAAAATTGCCGAACTACAATACCTCCGACGGGTCTTCAAAGTCAATGGCTGCCCGCACAACTTCGCCAACCGGTACAAACGCAAAAGGAACGAAAGGCCTAACCGTACGGAAAACAAATCTTGGCGAGCGCTTCCATACGTCAAGAACGTTTCGGAAGCTGTCGGCCGCCTTCTCGCACCACTTAGGGTTGGAGGTGCACACAGAGGCGTCAATTGATGAAACCGAAGGACCAGCCGCCACAGCAAGAAACGTCTGGAGTCGTTTATCGGGTATGGTGCAGTTGCGGACAAAGCAACTACGTCGGAGAAACCGGAAGACAGCTCCTAACGCGAATGGCCGAACACGCTGCAGCGGGGCGGAGAAATGACGCCAGCTCTCAAGTTGCGGTTCATTCTACGAGATCCGGGCACAGTCTGATGATGTGTTCGAGCAGGAATCTGAAACGTCCGGCTAATAGGGGTCTTGTCCCAGCAAGCATGTTTGCTTCTTCCAGACTGCTTCCTGGGACTCGTCTCTTCGCCTCTGTTGGCAAAGAGAAACACTGCTTTCCAATATTGCTTAACGACCATGAAAGCAACCGTACTCGAGTGCGTGTCAGGCGTAAGGAGCACTCTAATATCGCCGCAACTTGCCTTGCACTTGTTAATCGACTGGGGACCAGTAAACCATGACTGAAGCAGCTCACGGCACACGCGGTTATCACCTCTTGCGAGAATTCCGGCCACGTCGAATTTGAATGTGTGGCCGGATCTCGTCGAATGAGCCGCAACTTGAGAGCTAGCGTCATTTCTGCGCACCGCTGCAGCATATTCGGCCATTCGCGTTCGAAGTTGTCTTCCAGTTTCTCCAACGTAGTTGTTTTGTTCGCAACTGTACCAGATCCGATAAACGACTCCAGAAGTTTCCGGCCTACTATCGCCGCAATTGGCCACACTTCCATGCGTCCAAAATCAGCAATCATTTCACGTCCCGAAATGTTGCCGGCGAACACCCCTATAGCGTACCTACCACGTCATATCGCAATCGACAGGACAAGGGGTCGGTGGCAGAGAATCCAGATTCAAATCCTAGGTCCTGCGAAGCTAGAATTGGGTATGGATGGTTGACGATGGTTAAAAAGCCAAAAATGACCACTACGGTCGGCAACACCTTGTCGGTGACCTTTTACGAGCTTCTAGATGTAGTTTCAAAGCCCAACAGAACAAGTGTGCTCCGCAACGAGATCGGTAAGCGTCCTGTTACACCAACCAAAAAATACGATCACTCGCTTTCTCACCTGATCTTCCTCATCTTATGGTTGATGACATTTTGTCTTATTTTTTCCAAAAACGACGTGATACACTTGATACGTTTAAAGTATTAAAATCTAGAACGCTTTTCATCTACTGTTTTCGATGTACTGGGATGCCGCGCTCTTATGTCGAAAGTCGGTAGGCCTCCGTCCCAAAGCTGTTAAATACAGTATCTGGGACTTAATTTAACTGCTGAGTTCGGATAGAACAACCCCTTAATTTACGTTGCCGCAATTAAGAAGATAAGTGTTGATTGGATTTTGTCATGCACGGGCAGTTCACAAGCAGGAGGCCAGAGTGTCCTTAACCTGTCCCTCTTACTTCCCACTTATCAGAGCATAAGATGCTAGAATTGATTTAGCATCTATATTGGCATGCATATGTATGGTAGAAAGTCGCTCAGGGATCAGTCTATTAGACATACTCCTCCTGTTGTGCCTTGTGGTTCATTCCAAAGTCCTCGCTGACAGTCGCATAATAGGCGTCTGACAGTGGTTGTACCGTACGTTCAACATAGTTATTAGTTAAAAGCTCTGATAGTGTTTCGCCAATGTTTCTGCTGCTGCGTGACGCATCCAAGGGCGGTGCAGCTTCTCAATGTTGTCGTACTAGTCTCTGGTATGTGAACTACAAAATATTTACGATCGCCAATAATCTTGTGCAATAGTGGTTTTTATTATTTCAGAACCGACACGAAAGATCACGTCGAAGGCATTTACATCTTAGTACTTCATTTAATAGTTTGCGAAAGTATCCGCGCGAAATATGAACGTATGAAATCGATGTGTTATCTCATAAAGTGTTATTCGAAGATCTAAAACGTGTTTTCGATTCGAAAAGGTAAATAAATTAGTGTTGCAATATTAATGATTTGCAGCAAAATCTTGAGATATTTTAGCCATATCAATATTTCGGCTTTTCAAAGAAATTCATTTCAGCCATTTGTAGCAATTTTACTCTGTAAGAAATGACTACTAATTTAGTTTGAGTTTTTCCTGTTGGTTTTCAACACCCTATATATTTAAATAATGTGTATATAAAACATAAACGTGAATATTTTATTTTTCACCCATTTCGTAGCACATCACGACGTCTTTAAATCTCTCGCTTGATGGAAGTGTATAATTTGGTTTTAAAAGACATTTTCAATTCCTGAATAATTTTAAATCCGACATGTCCTTATACTTGCATTCGAGGTTTCCAATGAACAAGTTATACAGTCTTCGCCATTAGGGAAATTCCATATGGGATCCATAAAATTTTACAGTGGACTAGAACCACGGTGTATGCTTTATAAACTCCAATTGTAAATGTGATGTCACAATGTTTCAAACATGGAGATTTCAGGATCTTAATAATGTCCATAAGTAGAAACACCATTAAAAACCTGAGATAACCTTTCTCAAAATAAAAATTAAAAAATGATTTTATTTGCTACGAAAGGAGCAAAAAGCGAATAGCTATGTGCAAGGTTTCCAGAAAAAACATTAACACTAATTTTGACAACGAAAATCAATGAGTAAAATGTATATAACATAAATGCTCGTCCTTTGCATATTGAAATTTTTGCTGACGACCAAAACAAAACTACTTAAAAGCCAGCAAAGTGAGGTAAATAAAATGTCCGAAATTTAGCGACACGGTAATTAGTACGATAACCCCAATAAAGCAATTTTTCGAGTTTGGAACCTAATTTCAGGATTCCAGCTAATATTTGATTGGTAAGCATATCTACCATATGTTAAGTTCTTTCATTTCCCTTTAATTTAATAATGAACTTTGAGGTGACGTTTCGGCTCTATCTTTCTGTTTATGTGAATATTTTGGCGGACATCAACTAGCGTCAGCGGATTAAATGGTGATTTTATAAGCCGCCAACAGCCAATCAGTAATACGCATAAACATGTTCAGACGCACATACGCATAGACATTGTAACTAATCAATCCACTTCAGCTGAAAAGAAAAGCGTATTCTTTATTACTACACCGACTGCATGCTGTCTGTCTAGACTCAGTATACCTTTGGAGTAAAGTGTTATTTATGACATAGAGAATGTTGTTTACAGAAGGGCCAGAAAGACGCCCATAAACCCTCATCACTGAAACAAGCTTCCTACTATGGCCTGTAACAAAAAATAGTTAAACAAGAAAATGACCAAGCCACCAAGCTTAAACAGACATTCCTTTCTTCAACAGCCGTCATCACATTTAAATGATTAAACAGCAGCCAAAACCTCTGCAGACGACCAAGAGAAAACTTTTTTTCTTTAAGGGTCTCTGTAGATTTCAAGCATATTCGACATATTAAGAAAAAAGGATCTTTCAACAGAACCAAAACTGAGCGAAGTGCTGATTAATGCTGTACGCTAATCATTAGTCCTACAATGTGGATGAGTAATATTTGCTGGTGCCTACATGTGTTCCTTAGCATTGCAAGTTGAGACGGTTTATTTTTTCTGGCATTGTAGTCCCTTGAAAATGTCGTCTATTTGGAAACAGCATATGTTATCTTAAACGCTGGGTTGCTACATTTAAATATTAGGCCACACATTTCAATGAACTACTCCGGTCTTGGGATAATTTTAGTTTGTCTAGTGTATACCGTGATGAAAGACAAGAAACATTTGACTTTGAAACGAAATCCTCAGTAGACATGTAAATTGACGTTATCAAACATGAAGTTGCCTGCTTATTTGCAAAGGAAACACATTTCCAACAAAAGAGAAAAGTTATAGGATTTTGTCATCTTAAGTATAAAATTTTAAATGTCACTTATGCGCACGACATGAAGTGCAGTTTAATGAAGGTAAGATGTGGCTATGTAGCCCCATCTGCTAGACACAATGCTGTTGGGGTCGGGGTTAGTGTTAGCAGTTTAGGAATACGTGCTAGCGTTTGGGTTAAGTGTAGGGATTATGGTTAATTGTTAGGGTTAGGATTAGTGTTAGGGGTTAGGCCAACTATTTCCCAACCATCAAAGTACAACCGAGCATTCCAAATAGCTTTTCTTTTGCATACAACTACTTGACCTCGTCGCCTGTGCGTTCCCCTGTCCCATCTCTAAAAACCCCTTTAACCACCGGTCCCGTATTAGAGGTGACTGGGGTTTGTTTACTTCGGGTGGGGTTACATAGCCACATCTGACCGGGGCAGCAAACTGGCTGTCGTATGTAAGCCCCCAGGGCGAACAGCAATGTGGTATGCTTTCCAGCTTGAAGTCCGTTCCTTTGATAATACTTGCAAAATCATGACTCCCCGGTGAAAAGAAAGGGACAAATAACAGGCAATCATATATTTGCTGCCAGATGAGAGCTGGCCGCTGCTAGATAAACAAACGGGGACATTTTCACACAGTGTGGAGGAGCCCCAGGTATGGGGTGTAGGATTATTGACACGGGAGAAGTTCCATCGGATTCTGGTGCCATAGAAACTGATGACAAACCCCAATTTTTCCAACAGAATTGGTTGACATTGCTGACATATTGGGAGAACACACTGTGAGGCCTCGGATATACCTGTAGGCAATCGAGAAGACCTGTCGATCTCGCATTAAACCAGGCGGCCTTGAATTCAAGTCTGATTTCTAGACTGAGTGCATCCGAGTCAGATGTGAAGTTGACTTTGAAGGCTTAGGATTATAATCAGGATGCCTCAGCACCTGTCATTTACATTTGCTGAGTACGACACGCCTTAAACGATGTGACCTGGTCCAGTAGCTCGGGATTACGAGCGAGGCTTCTCTATCAAGTAGCAGGTCTGTGTGTCGTGGGGGCACGTAGCCAAGGCTCGCCTTCGACCTGGTCAATGAAAATAAGCATCCAGAAACGATCATTCAGCGTCCTCGCTTCTGTCTTTTTCTCGTCCTTTAGACCTCCCGTACATTAGATGCTTACAGACTCAGATGGAAGACCGTTTATTCCCCCGAAGAGGAGAAATTAATGGGCAAAGACCAAGTAAATTCATTTGAGAAGGAGGAGGAGGAGAACGATGATGATGATGATGATGATGATGATGATGATGATGATGATGATGATGATGATGATCAGAGGTGGCTGGCGGTTGTTTACTTCAGCTGGGGCTACAGTACCACATCTGACCGTTATGAAATTATGAATTTCAAGACGGGTTCTGAGGACCAGATTTTCGTGATCAAGTGGCAGTTATGTTTGAGAAAATGCGAGAACCTGTTGCCTACAGATAGATTCGCCCACAGAGGATCCTAGCGGTTTGAGCCTAAAGTTTAGCTTTAAACTCATTCCCTACTTTTCAGACATAATTCATGACCTCGCTTTGCAAACCGGACACACTAAGGGACCTAAACTCACACAGTTACGCCCTCGACGACAGGAAGTCAGCGAAGCAGCACTAGCCTCCTGTGTTGGGAGCATTTTGAAATAAACTCTTCGCATGGCGCTCATCTCCATATATACTGTCATGAGTCACATACCTTGTCGACAGGAACTAAGCGAGCATTAAGACCCAACATCGAGAATTACGGAAAAACAAAAGATTGTGTCTGAATAAAAAAAGTGCGCGATCTGCTCTCACAGTCTCGACAGTCTCTGCTTAATCCGTAATGCCTTTGCTCCAGTTCACGTGTTTTGGCTGTTGGACGTCTGCACCACGCGTGACGCGCCCCCCAGCCGTTGTGGTCAAAGCGCGGCGCAGATCGATACTTGGCCTTTCGCTGATTGGCTGCCTTTAGTTGGCATGGGACAGGCGAGCACGGTCACGTCTGGAGTCGTCGCTTGCGTCGGCGTGGTCCGGCAACAGATGATCGTAGCCTTTGACCTTCTTGTACGTCCCATGACGAAATAAAATCATCCAGCAATTCTGCCTACGAGGTTCATTTTTTGCAAATACCACACACGGCGTGCGTTTCCAACAATTCTCCAATTTAATCTTTATAGTTATCGCCCAGGTCCTTGACTTGGAAGCAACAATGTGTGCAGAAACTCGTGTGATGCTGACTAACGCCCTATGATGTGCGTTCAAACGAGAAGCTAAAGTTATAAATTATGAAAATACAACCGATATTTTTCACTACATAACGCCTTTGAACCCTGGCCTGTTCTAAATCAGGCAGCTGGCTTTATACCAACGTGCCACATGTTTCAAAAGTGAAAATGGTTTTTTTCTGAACCGAAAGTGTTCCATTTTAATATACATAACGGATCCGTTGGATTTGGCATAGGCGTCAACAACGTACCAATAAAATATCGATACATTTAAAGAGACGAATTGGTTTTGAATCACTTTAAACGCGACTACACAAAACTTCCAGAAAAATATATGAACGTATCCATTTATTGTTCGTTAGGACATGGCTGCTTCGTCTCACAAAGTTTTGGTCAAAATTGTAACGTGTGCTTCTGGTCAGAAATTATTGGTCATGTAGGAGGTTGTGGTGCTGATTATCGTGCAGTATAATTCTGAAATATAGCGGTCACCTCAGAATGCCCTCTACGAAACAGGTTTCTGTTCGGCCGTCTGCGAGAAATAGCACTTCGAAGAATTAGCAGTTTAAATAGTGTGGAATTTTTCATGAATGTTCGACGTTTTTTAATCTGAATATATAGTGCTAAAAGCGCACTTAAACACACTTTATGCCTTCGTACGGTAGAAAATTACGCACCCTTTAAATTTTGTATTTGAAGAAATGACATCTTTTGGGCTAGAAGGTTTCCAGTCATAAGATCTTTTAAGCCTGTAAGGCGTCTATTCATACAACATCACGTGTGACCGTTTATTAGCGTTACTTATGAATTATCCAATCTGGTTCACCTTAATTGCACAATTGTCTGACCCCTATATGAGGCTTTCAGTATAACGCAGAGAAATTTATTATCTTTTTGCGGAAAGCATTTGACAGGCAGTTTTGAGACCCTAACCGAAAATGCAGCTAGAGGCTGGGTTGAAATTTACGTTTGTAATTAAAACCGTATTTGCAGGTGTGACGGCAAGACGCTTAAAACATATTCGAGAATGAAAAAGGTTTTGTTAAACCGAGTTGTACTGTTCTTGTTAGTAAAAAATTTAAATAAATCCATATATTCTACCAAATGGATAAAGAAACGAATAACTTTGTGAACGTCTTCCACAAAGCATGTTTGAATATATAAAGATATCGGAATTCGATGGGAGATATTCATACTACGTATGTGGTCACTTTACTCAGAATATTGTTTTTGAAGACGGCTGGATGGAAAATTGTTCAAAAGACGCCATCCTCCCGCGATTGAAATATACTGCAGTTCTGCTGCACGATCATTAAAATAACAACCCTCTTTCAGTAAGCTTTTCGGATCGAAAACATATTTCAGAATTTCGATTACAATTCATGAGGTAGCACATTTACCTTACCTACCTGAAATTGGGATACTGACTAATGGATATTCGCAAATGAATGCTATGCACTTCCCCATGATACACTATGCTGTGTTGGCTTTTGCTGAGCAAAAATGAGCTGTCTCATCTTTTTAAAAAGTGAACATCATCATCGGCCTCGAGGTGAAACGCGCGCTTTCAGCGATCATCTCGAACGTACATTCACTCAGACTTTCCTTTTGAAAAAGAAACTACAACGTGACTGAGGAGAAAACAGTTTCCTTTTAGCAAAAGACCCACTGATTTTCACCTTTTGATTACGTGCTAGTGTCTGCATGAGACAGCCTAGTGCTAATGGAACTTTCTGTCGCAAAAAGAACGAAAACACTGCCCGTCCCATAGTGCAGCAGTGCACTTATAAACCTCAGAGTTACATAACGTCTTGCAGAGTGTCAAAAAGCCTCCATTTATTCATGCATTTCTTCGAAGTTAAAAGGCCCAGTATTTGTTTTTGACAATAGACTCCACTTCAGGAATAGAAATATACAGGATTGCTGGGATCTTTGGACAGTATTATCATAAGAAGATATGGCAATTTTCCTAGTTTGCCTTTATTCAAAAGGCCCAGAGCACATCTTTAAATTTACCGGACGCAGAAATTTACCAACCCTAACAGCAAAACCTGTCCGCGGGTCGAAGAAAGGGGTAATACACAGGAGTCAAATAAGTTGATCGTCAGACTGACAAGCCACCCGCGTTTGTGGGTTTAAGTAGCCACACTAAACAAAGAGTGAATAGGCCGTGAGCGCTGCATGACGACCTATAATAAACTAGTGAAAATTTTGTCAGAAAACATAAAAAGTCTACGACTTCCTTATCTGCTCCTGTAAACAAGCATTCAAATCGTAAGTTTGGGCAAAAATTAGCCGATCGCTGGGTAGGCCTCTCAGCTCTGACTCGTGGGCCATTGTCATGTAGGCTACGACAGTGTTGTATCTGTTCCTGTGAATGTGGCGTGCGCAATATTTGCTCTGGTTCAAGGACGGAGTGGTACATTTTCTATCCGACCTGAAGCCGAAGTTCTACAGTTGACCCAGGCAGTCACGCGCAACTAGCCACCAGTTATGGACGGTAGGTAGTAACAAGAATATGGCCACTGAAATAAACATCACTGGTTTATAAACCGCAATTCGCCAGTCACAACACAATCCCAGACGGTATGCCGGCTGTTTGCACTCAAGGCAATTAAACGTTCAGCAAAGCCACCACATACCGACCGGCTAACAATGGGAGCATTCAGTCACACCAATGTATTTTGCGTCGATCCGTCCTGATTCTGGAACGCAGAGAGGCATTTCGGCTTCGAAATGTATTGACAGGGTCCGCAAATAACGTAGACAGTCAAAATCGACCATGTCACTATAGATTGCAGTTTGAAGATTCAGAATTAGAACTCTTGTCATTAAGGCACTGAGCAATACGCTTAACTTGGAGCCAGGTATAATTGTCACTTGCAAGGGCATCAAGGCTATCCAGTCATATAAGAGTATTATCACGCTGCAAAGACATACCCGTTTAGGTTTTTAGTTAAAGACTTAGGGGGCATTAACACAACTTGAAATCAATCGCATGGAAGATTTAAAAATGGAGACAGAAATTCTGGAGTGGAAATTTTGGTATTTTAGTATTTTGGTATTTTTGCTCATTTCCAATTTTCTGCAAATAGTAACATTTGCAAGCAGAGATTTGACCAAGATCATAGTTTCATCGAGAACCGCTTTCAACCCTGTGCAACGTGACATGATTAAAAGTGTACTGGTCCCCAACTCCGGACGCATGTTGCAACGCTGAACCTCTCACGACTATGTACTTGTAGGAGCGAACCCATTGCAGCCTGGTTCTCGGCCAATGCCGGCTGTTCAAACTGGCCAAGCATCTTCGAGGCTGACTGCGACATGACCTCTCTGAAAGCAGTGGGCGACTACCCATGTCTCACATTCTCGGACGCCACTCTCGCAGGGTCGGATGTTCCCTCGTCCAACTACCACCTCCTATCAACCTCTTCTCTAACACTTCTGTACAGAATACAACATCCTCCCAACTGTAGTCCCACTTCTCTTCCTGTTCGGAAATGGTCCTCACTGTTGTAGTGGCTAGGATCGCCCTATGGTTTGAGCTGCTTCGATAAGGATATTAAGTCCCCTGTGCATAGATATGCCCTGATACCAGGACTTGTATTCGTTACTGAATGCCTGTCGTTACAGCAGTCGATCACATATCCACCGGAAACCGGTAATGCAAAAGCTTCAGCTAAGAGTAAAAGGGCGTCGGGACGTTGACCACTGGTTGATGGGCAGTCATCTGCAGGAGCTACAACAATACTGGGTAGCCTCCTACATAACCTGATCATAAAACTGTACACTGAATGTTACAGACCGTGTAGCCAATCGCACAACAAAAAACGCATTACCAGGTACAGGAAAACTCGAATTGATACTTTGGTCTATCACCCGCCACCAGTAGTTGGTGCGAAAACACAGGCGTCTACTTCTGATCTTTGGAGTGTAGAATGCTTCCATATTAGTTTGGCACTTGATAGTGAGGTCGACCTAACCAAACGAACCTATTCAGCTCCCCTGTGTTTATTTAAGCGTTTATTATTGATTATTAATCGACACAAGACTGTATCCGTAGGCCTGAGCCGACAAATGGAATCAAAATCAATTTGGCAAACACATGTTTTCGATAATTCTTCGTTAAGCCAAAAAAGCTGCATGAAGGAATGAAAATGTACAAAAGCAACAGTGTTTATAGGTGTCTTAAGGGTTATTAAGTCACTAACACTCATCTTCCCCACGCCGCCTGCATGATGAGGTCGGCGGGTTTTGGTTCTTAG